CAAGTAAAAACTAAGAAGGGTGAAAAATGCAAGATTCCAAAGTAACAAAATGCCCACTTATGAGAAAGATCGAAAGGACCCATCTTGTAAGGGGTGAGAAGAGGAATACGTGGAGTTTGTTTTTCTTCAGACACGTTTGAGCTTCCCGTTTTACAAAAATAAGTTCGGAATTGTTGAAATTGTGGAAATGAGTGAGGTGAAGAAGAGTATTTATAGGTGATGGGAGACGAAGAAAAGCCATCAGTATTGTACCATGCAGAGGCCTAATGCTTTCGGATTAGAGTGAGCTGATTCTAGAAAGTCAGCGAAGGGGTATAGCCTTATCCCAACTTTCTCTGCTCCTATCTCATTAGCAAACAGCTTCAACAATCTCCAGAGCAAATCCGAAATGGTTCTCTAGAGATCCACCATATTGTTCCGTCTAATCATTCACTTGAACGTTCAATTAAATTGGTCAATAAGGCAATTGTGTGCACCATGAATCTCAACTCCGTCGAAATCTATCGACATGTACACAACATTAGCAACCTGAATCTCAAGACTAAATGTGGGGATGATAACTGATCATTCCTTCAATTTAATTGGTTGGAGTATTATGAATAAAATAAAATAAAATAATCTTTTATGTTCTAATTTTGGAAAAAGAATTACCGGCCTCAATAGCATTCCTTGTAGCAAGCCTGAAATCATTCACAATTTGAGAGATTTCATATGTCCTTAGTCGCCTTGGAGGTGCGAATTGTGCAACGTCAGTGCCAGCGGATCGAATTTGAGATGTCAATGGCTTGTTTGTACAGGAGAAGCCTGTTGGAGTTGTCGACTACTTCAGCATTAATGGGTAACGGAGACGCACTCTACGCAGCGCCCCCTAGCCCGTAGTCGGTTTTGGGTTTTTTCATGTATAACCGCTGTAGGATTCCTTTTAAGTTATTAATTCCTTTTTGGGTTGGGCTTAGGAATAGGAATTCTTGTAAAACTAGGTTTAATCTCTTAAACCTAGTATATAAACATACTTTTCTCTTGTTATGTGTGTGAGAGCAATTCATTCATTGTAAACGAGAGAGGTGAGACATATTTCAATAATATTGACTCAGCTGGACGTAGCCCACATTGGGTGAACCAGGGTAAATCGCGCGTATAATTTCTTTGTTTACTGTTTGTTTTGTTTTACTATTATTATTTTGTTCCTGTTGCTTCTCTATTTCGTTCAAAGCCATTGACAAGAAAGGGAGAACTCATAAAGATCTATAAGATAAAGCCTGTATAAAAGAAATATACCATTAAAATCCGAAATGAAAAAGGTAAAGACAAGCACTCTTTCCCTGTACCAACTTATTCTCTCAAATTCCCCTTGGCCTTGTGTTGCTAACAAAAGTTACATGCGATTAAATCTTTCTCCACTTATAACAAAGTAAATTGTAGAACAAGAGATTACAAACAAAAAAGAATAACAATCTTTCCATTATCTGCTTTCCATAAATCTAATATAAAATTTCTACGCTCAACCTTGAAAACCCCAAATTACAAAACAAGTCTATAACATTAATCCTGTGATTCAATGATTACAATGAACAAACCTTTATTTAACCCTTCCCACATGCCAAAGCTGACAAAAGAAGATCCCACCTTTGGCATGAACAGCCACCAATTGGTTTCCATGCTTCACTTGTTCCTTTGTCCATTCGGGTACGTGGATACCTTAAATATCAAGAACAAATTAAAGAGCTTATCAAATTTCAACCAGAAAGTAACATTGAAAATTCAAATGTTGCCACCCTTTTAATCTAACACATATGTATAAACAAAATTACCCCCGAGCAGTGTTAGAAACAGCAGTGGCTTCAGCTATGAGAAAATCACTTTAGTTTTTCTCAATATAAGATGGCGTGAGGCTGAGGAACATTGTTGGAAGACCTCTGTCTCATCCTGGTGCTAAGACAACTCTGAAACATACATATCAAATGAACCATAAAGTTCAATTATACCCGTCACTATAAACTTTTTAAGCTTTATATACGAATCTTCTTATAAAGAGATGAAACAAAATATACAGTATTATTCCATAACTAACATATCAATAACGATTATCTATATTTGCTCTATTTTTTATATTTACATTTAGTAAATGTAACAACAGTAGAGAATTATCAGCTATTATCATACCTCATGGGTTTAGTGTTTTAGTTTGAGGGGTTTAGTGAAGTGTTTTCCTTTTAATCAGTAGAGTAAACGCCTTTTACCACCCAAGGTTTGGTGAATCTACAATGCCCACCTTGTTTTCATAATTACAGATTTCTACCTTTAAATTAACAGAAAACTATTTAATCTAATAGTTAAAGGGTAAAATAGTCATTTCAAAGATGAAAATTTTTAATAACCATTTATTTCTCAAATTCACCCCATCGGAAAATTTAAATAACCCTTCACTTCCAAATTCACCCACCGGGATTTTAGGCCATTCCGGCATGTTTCTAGCACAATCGCCCCCTCCCAACATGACCATTACAATCCCCCAAATCCTACATCAAAATCTCTACACCTCCCGCCTGATTGAACCCTCCAATCATCGACTAACACTCTTAGTGTCAGTTGGCGTTTTATCCAAATTTCGTAGTGTTCTGGCACCGAAAACCACCCCCACCACCACCAATGGCATCACCGACTTCCCCTCACCACCAAAACCCCCAATATTGCTGATTGCAATTGCCCACCGTCGTGGCCGCCTCTCACTTAGTTTTTGAGTTTTGTCGCCCCTTTCCAGTAAAATTCTGGCCCCTCACCAATGGCAATTGGGTGGAAAAGTTGAGGGTTTTGGTGAGGAGAGATAAGGGGTTGCTAATGGTGGTGTCGGGAGGGTCCAATGGTGCCGAATCAAGCCGGAGTTTTTACTTGGCCGAGATCTCCTCTAGAGGTTAGTTGAGAAAATTTGAGATGTAAGGTTATTTTAATAGAAAAGTACCGGTGGGAATTTAAGGTGGGAATCTACAATTATGAAAATAGGGTGCGAACGTGAATTCATCCAACCTTGGGTGGGAATATGTTGTTTACTCTAATCAGTAAGTCACTATGAATGTGATTCCAATTTTTTTAAGTGATTTTTAGGAAAGTATTTAACACGTGCCCTCTTAACATAAAAAAACTATTTTCAGAAAACATGTTTTTAGTTGTAAATAAAACAAAATTACATTTTCTAATGCATATAAACATCAGTCATTTTATGTGGATTTAATTTCTCCTAGTCTCTCCTCATTTCGGATACCCTTTCTCTTTTAATTGTTTTTTAATTCTCATTTTCTTAACACTTTCTCAACAGCCAAACATCTTAATTGAAGAGATGAAACAGGAATTTTCACAAACACCATCTTCACTAAACCAATCAAAGAACCCTACAAACAAAAGCTTAATTACCCAGAACATCATATTATCTGGCTTTATTTTAATCACCCTTGAGAGACAGTAGTCCAAGTACTATAGTGATTTTCAGAAAGTATCAAAAACCCCCCGACATCAGGGATTCTAATATTTATAAAGACTTTTTGATATTTTTTAAGGGTTTTATTATATATTTAGGGTGTTTTCGATATTTTAAAGAGGTATCTTTACTCTCCGAAGATGGCGAACACTTGAGACTTAGTTATTATTAGGGCGAATGAATAAAGCCTATTCATCCAAATCCATCAGAGATTAAAGTATAAACAAGAAGGTGTAAACTGCAAAAGTTTAAAGTTGCAAAACGTACGTATAAGAAGATTGAAACTACCCATCTTGTACGGGTGAGGAGAGGAATAACTGGAGCTTCTTCAGACATTGTTAGCCTGTTGAGTTTGTGTTGGTTTAGGAAAATATCAGTTTGGATTTCTTTAAACTGTGAAATAGTTGAGTGAAAAGCGTGTTTATAGAATAAAGGAGACAATGAAGTGCGGCTTTTGCAAGAATCGTTTACGTTTTGAATCACGTGGCTCCGTTTGTCAATCTTCACTATCGCCTAATCATTTCTCGTTTAAGGCCAAAAGGTAACGCGAGATGCCGCATTGAAACAGAAAGGAAATTTTTGAATTGATTCGATAGAATTGTACAATAATCACATGAAGAGAATTATTGCCATGACATATTGCTAGAACAGGTATTTTAGTTTTCTACACTTATAGAGTGCAGAAAAATAACACTATGGTAAAAAAAAAAAAAAAAAAAAAAAAAAAATACAGTGAATTACATATTAACCACAATGAATCGTACAAACAAGTACGACTTCTATAACTTAAAGGTCTAAGAAGTAATTTCAAGGAATGGATAATCTGTGTAACCATAACAAAATCATTTGTATAAAATGTTTCTCTATAAAATGTGTCTCTGTTGTATGGGTTTAGAGGGGCATTGAGTTCAATCTCTTTGGTAAATCAGGATTAGATATGAACCAACGACCATAAACGACAAGATCCGCATGAACCTTCTGCTATAGCCTGATTCCATCTTCCCTGTCGAACCACCCTGCAACGAGGAAAGTACCGTTGAAAGCCTTTCTCATGGGCAGTAAACTGTGAGGACTTTCGCATTTTTCTCCAACTGTTTTCATTCTAGGTTCAACCATGTGGCAGTAGACATATTATATTTATTCAAGGACTCTGCCATGTAGAGACCTAATGCTTTGGATTTGAGTCCCCTGCTTGCGCGTATTCGGCAAAAGGAGATAGCCTTATCCCAACTCTCTCCGCTCCTATCTCATTAGCAACAGCTTCAACTATCTCTAGAGCAAATCGGCAACGGTTCTCAAGGGATCCACCATATGTCCGTCGTGTCCGATCATTCACTTGATCCTTCAAAAACTGGTCAATCAGGTAACCATGAGCACCATGAATCTCAACTCCATCGAACCTGTACAACATATACACAACATTAGCAACCTGAATCATAAGACTAGATGTGGTTTACTACAAGCCCGTATAGAAAATTAAAGTAATGATAGCTCATCAATTCTTCCATTTACTTGGTTTGGAAAAGATTTACATTTTGGTTTTAGAAAAAGAATTACCAGCTTCAATAGCATTCTTTGCAGCAACCCTGAAATCATTCACAATTTGAGGGATCTCATCTGTCTGTAGCCGCCTTGGGGCGTGAACTGTGCACACCAAAGCCATTAGCTCGAATTTGAGGCGTCAATGGCTTGTCCGTACTGGAGATTGGAGCTTGACCATTTGGCTGAAAACCTTTATAACAGAGAAAGGGGAACTAATAAAGATCTGATGAAAACCAGTATTGGTTTTCCATACCTCAGAGTGTCAACGTGGAACAAAACATTAAAAACCGAATGAGAAGGTAAGAACTCAGTATCTTCAATTCTGTTGCTGACCTTGCGTTGCTAACACAATTACTGCAATTCAATTGTTTAACCTCAGCATAGCTGATTGGACATCCATAAATATATTCCCCTCAACAAGAAACTAAATTTTAGATCAATAGCAAAGAAAAAACATTATTGTTTTCTTTCACTCTTCCAAATATTGTCAGTAACTCAAATATAAGATCTCTATGATCAAACATGAAAAATAATCAAGCTTCAGTTGAGGCTATATTTATTTATCACAGTTCACCACTTAATTATAAGTTCTTTTAGTCTGTTTACATGATAAGAGGCAAGGGTAATAACTACCCAATTTCCTGACTAATACAACTACATAACTCAGGATAGTGACAACCCTAACTTTATATAGTATAGCAATTTAAGTATCCATTGTATATACAATTACAAGGAAAGACTTAAAAGTAATACCTAGGCACAAGAGACGAGGATGGGTGTAATAAGCAATGAAATGCTTCAGGGAGTTGAATATATGTATAAAATGATGCAATATATAAATTACAAAAGACATGAACACAGGAGTTGCACAATGGCAGTAAAGGTTCTAACAAACTTGATTCATCCAATCTGAATGTATGCAACGGAATATGAAACGGAAAACATTAAAGAGTCTGCCATATTAACCCAGGAATGATTCCATCGTTACAACTTACAATACACAAAAGGCAAAGACATAGAACACACCTCTATTTGAACCCTTCCCACATGCCAAATCTGACAAAAGAAGATCCCACCTTTAGCATGACCAGCATCCACAATTGGTTTCCATGCTTCAACTTGCTCCTTTGTCCATATACCAGGCGTATTTGGATATCTAAGAAATCAAGAAACAAAGAGCTTATCAAATTTCCACCTCAACGTGCTACCGTTTTAATCTTATCACATCTATAAAACAAAATTACCCTTGAGCAGTGTCGGAAACACCAGTGGCTTCTGCGATGAGAAACCACCTTTAGTTTGTTCTCGAGAGTAATATAGGATGGCATGAGGCTGAGGAACATTGCCGTGAGACCTCTGTCTAGTCAATGCGCCAAACAACTCTGAAATAAAACAAAATCAACCAGAAAGTTCAATTATTCCCAACAAATAAACTGCACTCTCTAACCCAACAAAGTCATAGAATTGCTAACAATTTCAATACACCACTTCTATCACCAATTTTGTAACCAATCACCCATATTCAACATTCATAGAGGATCATTTTTCAGGAAATGTATTTTTATAACCAGAAAAGTGACAACTAACCTGATGATTCAGCTTGTGCCACTGTATAAACGGATATAATTACACATAAATGAAAAACAATGAATTTTACTTTTATAAAAAAACACACACACACTGTTTTTCAAAACAATCAAAAGTCTATATATAAATCAAAATGTAGACATTTCTACTCAATTTCAGATTTCCTCTTTTGTTTCTTGTTCTGTTTTTCCCAGCACTTTCTCAGCAACCAAACACTCTTAAATACAAATTAATTGAAGAGACAAAACAGGGATTTTCCACAACCATTATTCTTCAGTAAAACAGTCAAAACGAAAGCCTACCCACTACCCAACATCGAGTTAATAAAAACCCATCTTACAAAACCATCAGAAAAGTAAAAGGGTGAAAAATGCAAGATTCCAAAGTAAAAAATGCCCACCTTGAGAAAGATGTGAAGGACCCATCTTGTAAGGGGTGAGAAGAGGAATACGTGGAGTTTGTTTTTCTTCAGACATGTTTGAGCGTCCCGTTTTACAAAATAAGTTCGGATTGTTGAAATTGTGGAAATGAGTGAGGTGAGGAGAGCATTTATAGGTGATGGGAGACGAAGAAAGCCATCAGTGTGAAATTAAAATTAAATGAAATTATAATATGAAGGAATTTTGCAAGAATTTGATGATATGTGATTACGTGAGTCAGTTTGTGAATCTTGACCGACTGCCAAGTGCCGACTACTTCCCCAAAACGGCGAAGTAATCAATTTTTATAATGCAAAACGACGATTATGAATAATCTATCTATTTAGTTCACCTATGTAAATGCAATGTGGTATTAAGGAAATCTTTGTTTAATTGAAAGTAAAAGATATTATTGTAAACGATGTTGACACTTATTAAGGAACTTGCAATTGGAGCACTGACTGACGTTAGCCGTTACGATTTTATGTTCTGAGAACAGCTGAATTCAACTCCAAATTCAAACTGTTCAACACCTGTACTTTACACATGGGATGAATATGAACAAATTGATTAGCAATTCTCTCATAGAATTTTCGTTGCCTTCTGGAATGTTCTCTTATGCAATGTTCTGAAATCTGAACTAGAAAGTGACACCGTCAAGTGACCGGTTTCGTTGGGTCAGACGATGATATCATCCAAAATATACAGTCTATATATATTTTTCATATGTCAATTCTATCTTCTCTTTCATACTTTTTTTTCCTCTCTCTTTCTCTCCGTCCTCTCTTTCTTCTTAATATATATATTTCTCACATGTCAAATATCACGTCATCTTCTCTTTTTTCTTCTCACTCACTGGTCACTTCATCTTCCCTTTCTTCTTTACTTCTTCCATATTCTCTTCCCTTTTCTCACCTCCTCTTCTCTTATTTCTTCCGCATCTTTTTTTTTTTTTTTCCTCTCTCTCTCTCTCTCTCTCTCTCTCTCTCTTCTTCTGGTTCTTCAGATCTTCTTCATCTTTTTTTTCTTTCATTTTCTAAGCTCGAATCTAACCAAAGATAAATAAAGGTAAAAGAGAAGATGAATAAATTTGGATTGGAAGCCGAAGAAAGAAACAAATGAAGATTAAAGAAGCAAAGGCTCAAGCCAAAAAGGCAGGGATTTTGCCTTTCAAAACAGTCACATTTGTTGGTCCAGATTTTCATATGATCTGGTTAGACAGGCGGTCTGACTATTTTGCTGGTCCAGTAACGATCAGAAACGATTTAAATAAAAATACGGGTTTTAATACTTAATGAACCAGAATCATTGGCAAAACCCGCTCGGATCAGTCAGACCGGCTGGTCCGGTCTGGGTTTCAAAACATTGCTCCTGCGCATTAATAATGTCACAACATAACTAATTTCATAAGAATTGAGTACGGAGACAGGGATGGAAATATACGAAACAACATGACGTGATTATATAAAAACACCAAATCCCTACCACCAACGCTTTCAATCCCCATCATTAACAACAATAACACAAAACCCATTCAATATTTCCAATGAAAAAAATAATAGAAACGTATTTAACTCTACGAAAAATATTACGTTTATAGCTTAATTTCATAACCTTCTTTTACAATCTTAACGTGGCAGTAAATTAGCACTGTTAAATTAGTTTTTATTACATCTAAGGCACCCAATATACTATTCAGAAAGAACATTTAGTTATTCTTTCATAAGGAACAAGCATTCTTTCCATGAGCAACGATCATTCTTTCATAAAGAATTGTCGTTTCCTATGAAGGAACAATTGTTTCTTTATTCTAATCAAAATTATTTTGTACCTTTGATGTGATGGAGCTAACGTGATAACACTAACTCAACTGTTACGTCGAGGTTATAAAAAAAGTTTATGAGAAAAAGTTATCGGCGTATCATTATTGTAAATCTTAAAAAAAAAAAAAAAAAAAAAATTGTTGTTCTATTGGTATTCAATCAGAATTCGGTAAGTGGTGGTCAATTCGTGGCCGCCCTATCTGGTTCTGTAGCCGACAAGATCAGACGGCAAAACCCAAAGGTGGCACTTGGAGGAGTGAATGGGGAGGAGGAACGAAAAAAAGTTGTAAGGATTTTTTGTCAACTTATGATACCCATATGATAAATTGAATTTATTACAATATTATTAAGAAAATAAATACAATTGAAAATTTGAGAAGAATAGAAAAGATAGGAGAAAAAAGAAGATAAGAGAGGATAAAAAGTGTTTGAGAAGTTTTAGAAAAATTAGAATTACTTATTAAGATTATAAGATTTTATTTGCAAATGGTTACAATTCAAAATTTTAAATATAATTTAAATTTCTAAAAAATCATAATTTTCTTTTCAAAAAATTTTACTAGGTTAGGTCCGGAAGAGCCACCCCTGACACCCCACCCACAAGAAAACTCACTACTAAAACTTATATTATATTATTTTTTACTACACAATGTTCATAGGAAATTGTTTTAAGAAATGGATAATTTATGTAACCGATAATAGGATCATCGGTATAAAAAGTATCTTCATTTCATTTATTAAGAGGCACATCAAGCTCAAATCTCCTCGACAAATCAGGATTAGGCAAGAACAAACGCCCATAAGCAACAAGATCACCATTTCCATCACCCGCAACCTTATTTCCTTCTTCCCTATCATATCCTCCAGCCACAATAAAACTACCATTGAAGGCCTTTCTCACCGGCTTCAAACTCTCATAATGTTCACATTTTTCCCCGGATTTCAGCGTTCTGGGCTCAACCATGTGGCAGTAAAAGATCCCAAATTTGTTTAAGAAGTTTGCCATGAACAGGCTCAATGCTTTTGGATTTGAGTCCATGTAGTCCGCGAAAGGAGAGAGCCTTATGCCAACTTTTTCGGACCCAATTTCATTTCAAATGGCTTCAACTTTTTCGAGAGCAGAGTTCTCTAGGATCCACCATATTGGTTTGTCTAATCATTCACTTGATATTTTATGTGAAATGAGTTGAGTGCAAGGCGGCGTTTTATAAGAATGGAAAGGAGACAATGAAGTGCGGCTTTTGCAAGAATCGTATTACGTTTTGAATCACGTGCTCCGTTTGTCAATCTTCACTATCGCCTAATCATTTCTCGTTTAAGGCCAAAAGGTAACGCGAGATGCCGCATTGAAGACAGAAATGAAATTTTTGAATTGAATTCGATAGAATTGTACAATCACATGAAGAGAATTATTGCCATGACAAATTGCTAGAACAGGTGTTTAGTTTTCTTACACTTATAGAGTGCAGAAAATAACACTATGGTAAAAAAAAAAAAAAAAAAAAAAAAAACAGTGAATTACAATTTAACCACAATGAATCGTACAAACAATACGACTTCTATAACTTAAAGGTCTAAGAAGTAATTTCAAGAATGGATAATCTGTGTAACCAATAACAAGATCATTTGATAAAATGTTTCTCTATAAAATGTGTCTCTGTTGTATGGGTTTAGAGGGGCATTGAGTTCAATCTCTTTGGTAAATCAGGATTAGATATGAACCAACGACCATAAACGACAAGATCCGCATGACCTTCTGCTATAGCCTTGATTCCCTTCCCTTCGTAACCACCTGCAACGGAAAGTACCGTTAAAGCCTTTCTCATGGGCAGTAAACTGTGAGGACTTTCGCATTTTTCTCCAACTGTTTTCATTCTAGTTCAACCATGTGGCAGTAGACATATTATATTTATTCAAGGACTCTGCCATGTAGAGACCTAATGCTTTTGGATTTGAGTCCCCTGCTTGCGCGTAGTCGGCAAAAGGAGATCCTTATCCCAACTCTCTCCCTCCTTCTCATTAGCAACAGCTTCAACTATCTCTAGAGCAAATCGGCAACGGTTCTCAGGGATCCACCATATTGGTCTGTCCGATCATTCACTTGATCCTTCAAAAACTGGTCAATCAGGTAACCATGAGCACCATGAATCTCAACTCCATCGAACCTTTACAACATATACACAACTTAGCAACCTGAATCATAAGACTAGATGTGGTTTACTACAAGCCCGTATAGAAATTTAAAGTAATGATACTCATCAATTCTCCATTTACTTGTTTGGAAAAGATTTACATTTTGGTTTTAGAAAAAGAATTACCAGCTTCAATAGCATTCTTTGCAGCAACCCTGAAATCATTCACAATTTGAGGATCTCATCTGTCTGTAGCCGCCTTGGAGGCGTGAACTGTGCAACACCAAAGCCATTAGCTCGAATTTGAGGCGTCAGGCTTGTCCGTACTGGAGTGGAGCTTGACCATTTGGCTGAAAACCTGTATAGACAGAGAAAGGGAGACTAATAAAGATCTGATGAAAACCAGTATTGGTTTTCCATACCATCAGAGTGTCAACGTGGAACAAAACATTAAAACCGAATGAGAAGGTAAGAACTCGTATCTTCAATTCTGTTGCTGACCTTGCGTTGCATAACACAGTACTGCAATTCAATTGTTTAACCCAGCATAGCTGATTGGACATCCATAAATATATTCCCCTCAACAAGAAACTAATTTTTAGATCAATAGCAAAGAAAAAACATTATTGTTTTCTTTCACTCTTCCAATATTGTCAGTAACTCAAATAAAGATCTCTATGATCAAACATGAAAAAAACAAGCTTCATTTTGAGGCTATATTTTTTATCACAGTTCACCACTTAATTATAATTTCTTTAGTCATGTTTACATGATAGAGGCAAGGGGTAATATACTACCCATTTCCTGACTAATACAACTACATAACTCGGATAGTGACAAACCCTAACTTTTATAGTATAGCAATTTAAGTATATCCATTGTATATACAATTACAAGGAAGACTTAATGAATCCTAGCACAGAGACGAGGATGGGTGTAATAAGCAATGAATGCTTCAGGAGTTGAATATAATGTATAAATGATGCAATTATAAATTACAAAAGACGTGAACACGGATTTTGCCACATGGCAGTAAAGGTTCTACAAAACTTGATTCATCCAATCTGAAGGTATGCAACGGAATATGAAACGGAAAACATTAAAGATCTGCCATATTACCCCAGGAATGATTCCTCGTTACAACTTACAATACCAAAAAGGCAAAGACATGAACACACCTCTATTTGAAACCCTTCCCACATGCCAAATCTGACAAAGAAGATCCCACCTTTAGCATGAACAGCATCCACAATTGGTTTCCGCTTCAACTTGCTCCTTTGTCCATATACCAGCGTATTTGGATATCTAAGAAATCAAGAAACAAAAGCTTATCAAATTTCCACCTCAAACGGTGCTACCGTTTTAATCTTATCATCTATAAAACAAAATTACCCTTGAGCAGTGTCGGAAACACCAGTGCTTCTGCGATGAGAAGACCACCTATTTGTTCTCTGAAGTAATATATGTGCATGAGCTGAGGAACATTGCCGTGAGACCTCTGTCTAGTCAATGGCGCCAAAACAACTCTGAAATAATGCAAAATCAACCAGAAAGTTCAATTATTCCAACAAATAACTGCACTCTCTAACCCAAACAATTCATAGAATTGCATAACAATTCTCAAATACACCACTTCTATCACCAATTTTGTAACCAATCAACCATATTCAACATTCATAGGGATCATTTCTTCAGGAAATGTATTTTATAAAACGAAAAGTGACAACTAACCTGATGATTCAGCTTGTGCCACTGTATAAACGGTATAATTACACATAAATGAAAACAATGAATTTTACTTTTATAAACACACACACACAGTTTTTTCAAAACAATCAAAAGTCTTAATATATAAATCAAATATGTAGACATTTCTACTCAATTTCAGATTTCCTCTTTTGTTTCTTGTTCTGATTTTCCCAGCACTTTCTCAGCAACCAAACACTCTTAAAATACAAATTAATTGAAGAGACAAAACAGGGATTTTCCACAACCATTATTCTTCAGTAAAACAGTCAACCGAAACTACCCACTACCCAGAACATCGAGTTAATAAAACCCATCTACAAAACCATCAGAAATAAGTAAAAAGGTTGAAAAATGCAAGATTCCAAAGTAAGAAAATGCCCACCTATGAGAAAGATTGAAAGGACCCATCTTGTAAGGGGTGAGAAGAGGAATACGTGGAGTTTTGTTTTTCTTCAGACATGTTTGGAGCGTCCCGTTTTACAAAAATAAGTTCGGAATTGTTGAAATTGTGGAAATGAGTGAGGTGAAGGAGAGCATTTATAGGTGATGGGAACGAAGAAAAGCCATCAGTGTGGAAATTAAATTAATGAAATTATAATATGAGGGAATTTTGCAAGAATTTGATGACATATTGAATTACGTGAGTCAGTTTGTGAATCTTGACCAACTGCCAAGTGCCGACTACTTTCCCCAAAACGGCGAAGTAATCAATTTTTATAATGCAAACGACTATGAATAATCTATCTATTTAGTTCACCTATGTAATGCATGTGGTATTAAGGAAATCTTTTTTTAATTGAAATAAAGATATTATTGTAAACGATGTTGACACTTATTAAGGAACTGCAATTGGAGCACTGACTGACGTTAGCCGTTACGATTTTATGTTCTGAAACAGAAAATTCAAATGTTGCCACCCTTTTAATCTAACACATATGTATAAACAAAATTACCCCCGAGCAGTGTTAGAAACAGCAGTGGCTTCAGCTATGAGAAAATCACCTTTAGTTTTTCTCAATATAAGATGGCGTGAGGCTGAGGAACATTGTTGGAAGACCTCTGTCTCATCAATGGTGCTAAGACAACTCTGAAACATACATATCAAATGAACCATAAAGTTCAATTATACCCGTCACTATAAACTTTTTAAGCTTTATATACAGAATCTTCTTATAAAGAGATGAATACAAAATATTACAGTATTATTCCATAACTAACATATCAATAACGATTATCTATATTTGCTCTATTTTTTATATTTACATTTAGTAAATGTAACAACAGTAGAGAATTATCAGCTATTATCATACCTCATGGGTTTAGTGTTTTAGTTTGAGGGGTTTAGTGAAAGTTTTCCTTTTAATCAGTAGAGTAAACGCCTTTTACCACCCAAGGTTTGGTGAATCTACAATGCCCACCCTTGGTTTCATAAATTACAGATTTCTACCTTTAAATTAACAGAAAACTATTTAATCTAATAGTTAAAAGGGTAAAATAGTCATTTCAAAGATGAAAATTTTTAAATAACCATTTATTTCTCAAATTCACCCCATCGGAAAATTTAAATAACCCTTCACTTCTCAAATTCACCCACCGGAGATTTTAGGCCATTCCGGCATGTTTCTAGCACAATCGACCCCTCCCAACATGACCATTACAATCCCCTCAAATCCTACATCAAAATCTCTAACCTCCCCGCCTGATTGAACCCTCCAATCATCGACTAACACTCTTAGTGTCAGTTGGCGTTTTATCCAAATTTCGGTAGGTTCTGGCACCGAAAACCACCCCCAACACCACCAATGGCATCACCGACTTCCCCTCACCACCAAAACCCCCAATATTGCTGATTGCAATTGCCCACCGATCGTGGCCGCCTCTCACTTAGGTTTTTGAGTTTTGTCGCCCCTTTCCAGTAAAATTCTGGCACCTCACCAATGTGCAATTGGGTGGAAAAGTTGAGGGTTTTGGTGAGGAAGATAAGGGGTTGCTAATGGTGGTGTCGGGGAGGTCCAATGGTGCCGAAATCAAGCCGGAGTTTTTACTTGGCCGAGATCTCCTCTAGAGGTTAGTTGAGAAAAATTTGAGATGTAAAGGTTATTTTAATAGAAAAGTAACGGTGGGAATTTAAGGGTGGGAATCTACAATTTATGAAAAT